AGAGGTTATAGCATCTACCCATGATAAATTGTTGGAGGGGAAAAAAAAAAAGAAAACACAGGATTTGGAATTTAACCTGGGTTAGATTATTCAACCAGGTAACCACCAGCTGCCATAATCTCTATCATTCAATTTATTTACAAAGTATTCTTATTTAACAAAGTTGCAATTGTCAAAGGGACATGAAAATGTAAGACACATTAATTCCATGGAAATACTTTTAGTGAAAAAGATCATTTTATCAGAATAAAAAATTAATGATTAATTCTAGATTTTTAAGACTATCAAACATAGCATTCTTTATAACATAATAGTAGAGATTTAAAAAATCCCAGAATCTCTCTTTAAAAGAAGTATAGGTACAGGTACAGGGGAACCAATGTGCATCTTGGCATGTATTTTGTGTTATAATAGTAATGCTATTTATAAAGCTATTAAGTATTATAGAACACTAAAAACCAGTTCTTATACCTGATCTTGATACTTGCTAAATTTGACTAGTGTGTGTACAAGATATTATTAGACAAAGTGTCCAGTAGCTTAGATTATAAATAACCCCTGTTCTAGCTCATTTTAAACAATGTAGTATGAATGATGCCAAAAAACAAGCTAGAACATTTTCTTCTTTCCAAGATCTTAGATTTTGTAAACATGGCTCTGCTCCTGGAACTTATCTAGGTCATCATAACCCAAAATCTTTTGAAAGATGAGAACCCCAATTAAATCTCTTAGGTACTTGTTAATATTTTAATTTTAAGAAGTGTTTTATTTCTTTAAAACACAGTTTTTTTATTTTTTATTTATTTTTTTGGTGGGACCCTCGCCAGTGGCCAGGGATCGAACTGGTGCTGCAGAGGCTACGGGCATAAAACACAGTATTTTTAAATTGTTCTTTGGCCATTTGACTTATTTACACCATGTCATAATGAATACAGATCACTGGATAATCTTTTCAGTAATAGTGACTGCTAAGAATCTCCATGAGAGTGGAAAGTAACATAACTTATTATGTGTTAATTATCCCAGTACCAACCTGACAGCATAGCATTTCATTTTTGAATAAGAAATCTAATTTAAGGGGGAAAAGCTATAAATTACCCTATTTTCCAAAACTGCTGTTTAATTTAGTCTGTCTTGTAACTTAGTTATTGAGCTACTAAGTATGTTGTCAAATGTAATACTACTTTAGAAACTTTAAAAATATCTGTGTCATGGCGCAAGCGCTGGGTTGCGAAGCTATCCCCGTGCTCCCGTCCACCGGAGGAGGGTCCCATGGCGTGCAGAAGCAGTGTACTAAGCGCTTCTGACTGTACCCAGTGCTTGTATAAACAAACCATCAATAAATAAACATGCCTCTATAAAAAAATCTGTGTCATAAAAGTCTTTCTTTGGTAGTCAAGATTTAAATGTCATGCCCTTGTTCTTAACATGGGATATTACTAATATATTGCCCTTCACTCTGTGTGTATGTGTGTGTGTGTGCATGTATGCCCACATATGCACATTTGGCCTTTATTAGCATGCTGTATACCTGATATTTATAAAGGAAAATAGAAAACTTAAATTGCTCGAGAGCCAAGTACTAGGCTAGTTGGTTTATAACTCATAGAGAAATTATTATTTCCACTTTGCAAATGAAGAAATAGATAAGTTAAATTATTTGATAGCACAGCTTTTTGAGTGGAAAGAACCTGAGCCCCTAGACTACCTGGCTCTTCTTTACGTCTTGCTGCTCTAAGGGATTTTTCCAGTAATGAGGTTGGATTTTGTGTAGACATGTTTACATTGTTATCCCCAGAAGAGACCATCAGGGATGATGATAACCATTTTGATGGTGCATTGATAACACAAAAAATTATTTTGTCTCATCCTATTTCATCCATTCAACATAGCATTACTGCAGGCGTAAAAATCCAAACCAACAAACAACAAACCAGAAATGATTCCTATCTTAGTAATGAACAATTTCAGAGATGTGCTAAAGAGCCTGAAGCTGATTTAGATGTAAAATTTAGACTAGAACCCAGATATTTGGTTGCCGGTTCCACGTTCTTTTCTATTTCTTTAATCTCCACTGGATTAGGTATGTGATCTGTGATGATAAAATAGTGAAGTTTTGCAAACTGAATTTTTTATTGTGTTCCATTTAGTGATTGAACTATAGCAACAGGCTTCATTCCCTGCTTATCAGTCAAAACCAGTTTTCCCTTATTATAAGTAGTATATCAATAAAAGCAGTAAAGTAGAATGGGATTATAGTAGTGGTTGTTGAATGAGTGGTAAATGGAAACTGTTAACTTGAAATTTCTGTATTTAAACTTTATTCTTGTGTGATGCCACATTTGCCTTATAGAAATGCAACTAAGAAAGGAACTGTTGAGAAAAGTATGGTAGATTATCAGCATGCATGTTAGATTCAGGCAGACCTAAATTTGAATCCTGGCTTTTCTCACAAGTAACAAACCATTTTTCTTATCTGTGGTGATAGTGGCTACTACCACTGGGGTCAGCAGAGATGGATATGTGAAAAGTTTAGCACCATGCCTGGCCATAGGCCTTCATATATAACAGTTATAAAATAATTATCTTTGAAGGGTTATTTTCCTAAGTAAAATCTCTTTTTGTTTAGAAAGTGCCCAAGCTAGCATGATTATCGCTAAAGCATCATGCTATAAATGGACAGTTGCCAATTTTTTCCCCTATTAGAGAGCTTAGATGATTTCAAACAGTTGATATTTGAACATTTCCCATTTTGTATTTGGAATATGTCATTTAAAACAAATGTTATGGAAGATCTGCCTTCCTATTTATTTCCTTAATTAGAATAATACAATATATATTTTTTGATCTGGTACATTTGGGAACGCACAATTATGATTATGCTGAGTGCAGGGGCAGTGGGAGCTTTTCATGGTTTGGCGGGTGTGAATTGAGAACCTCGTACTAACAGCATTGAATTTTGTAGTATTCAGATTCCTATCTATAGTCTGTTGAGACCTACCAAGTCAATAATATGCCATTATGTTACAGCATACCCGTTTATGACTTTGTATCAAGATGACCCAACCAGGGAAAAGCAAGTGTTCTTCAGAATTATCTGAAGTGCCATTATGAAATGTATCGGAAAACTGGCAGAATAGAAGAAGGATTTCACTAATAAATCTCTCACTTGGATTTTATTTTTTAAGGTGGCATGCCTCTTGAAGTGCCTTTTATTCCGTTACAGTTACGTTTCTAAATTTAATTTTTTCTATAAGTTCTCTTTGTATATGATGTTAATCAGTATTTTTAAATAAAGATAGAGGATATCAACAGCCTTTAATTTAAAAGTTTAAAGATTATAACTAAAAGAAATATTCCAAAATAATTAGGGGTTGTATGTTATTCTTTTTTTGAAAGAAATAGACATTGATTTTAAATTATTTCTTGATTGATCCAAAAATTTAAAAACTTTTCACTCCTTTGACTTCTAAGAGTTGAGTAAGATTTAGAATTGATTTCTTGTATGAACAATGTATAAATTATACCTGGTCTGTTTACTTCCCATGGTTGCAAAATCAAAAAGTATATGGCATATAAATCAGGCCTATTGCTAGGTAGACAGAGTACCTCCCTGTAAAGCACTTACAGTGTGGCAGAAAAAAATGTCATTAAACCAGTCATTTTGCAAATAATTGTTTAACATTCTATGACCTAAGTGCCAAGAAAAACTGCTGGTAGCCCAGAACTAGTGTTGATCTGTGAAAGTTGCCCTGGAGAGGGGAAATTTAAACTGAGACTTAGCAAAAGATTGTGGGAGACCAGTCCTACCAGTAGAGGAATAATATTTGCAAAGACTCCAAGTTTGGAAGAAGCTTAAAGGTCCTTAGTAACCGAAAGGCTAGTGTGACTGGCAGAGAACACCCTTTGGACTTCACAATAGTCCTGTGAGTTAACTCCATTTTACGGATAAGAAAACTAAAGCTCAGAGTGGTTTAGTGATTTGTATAGTTTTACTGTTAGAAATGGCAGATTGTTTTAAACTTGGTTGGTCTGTTGAGTTGACCTGACTACAAAATCCTTGTTCTCTCTACCATGCCATTCTTTCCTAGTCACTTTCCTCACAGACTTAACTGCATTCCTGAAAACATCTTCCCTCTTGTTTTTTTTTTTTTTCTCTGAGGGCTTAGCAACTCTCCCTCTTGCTCATTGTGGAGCCAGTGATGAGGTTCTTTCTTGACACTAAGGCAATAATGAATCTCAACACTAAGAGACTGTATTTACTTGTATAATATAGTACTCCAGGGGTCCTAGAAGCTGAAAGGGTAGGAATCTTGTGGATTCTGTTGCTGATATGAAATTGCAGTGTTGTTTGTGGCCTCTCATTTAAAAATAGCCTCTTGGTACTCATAAGGTACTTCAATAGCGCCAACATTTCCATCAGCCTCTGCTCCCTACCCCCAAGACACTGCAGATAAACAAAGATCTAAGTAATAAACAGTGTGCTTCTGCTGTAGCCTCAGCCCTATTCCCACAAACTTCTCCTGTATAGAAATCCTAAAGCCACCATTAATAACACATTTTATTGGAAGAATGCAAATCAAAAGACTTCCATTGCTTTAAAAATTTGAAAACCACTATCCTAGCTTAGCTCATGTTCAGTGGTTACTACATGAGGAAATTTTGATTCTTTTTACTACTAACTACATTGACTTCCTTAAACAACTCTTAAATTGGGGAAGGAGTTTTGTTGTTGTTCTCACAGCTTGTGGAGACAGTGTAGACTGACATGTTGAAGTCCAGTACTGGAACTCTGAAACAAATATCCCATGTCCTCATCTCTAGATAACTTTAGGGGGTGTGGGGGTGGGGAGAGAATTTAGGCAAAATGTCATTCTTTTTTAATGTAAGAAGAAATGCTTGATGCAAACACCTAGTTAAGTTTTTTTTATTGCTCTCAGAGCTTACTGATTATTTTTACTTTAAATCTTTTTCTAAGCAATCTGTTTTTCTCAATTTTCCTTGCCCTCTTAAAAGGTACTGCATAAATTTAAGGCGGGCGGGGGACACGACTTTAGGCCTTATCCCATTTTAACTAACTGGTTGTGCTTTTCTAGGAATTGGTGAAATTTGTCCTAAAGTAATTCCTACTTCAACGTAGATGGAGGTTGATGCTTTATTTTAATTGTAAAGTTTCCTGTTTCTGTGGTTTCCGAGGATTTCTCTTGGTAGGGCCTGATTTACTTGAAATGTGAAGTAGTACATTGATTTTCCCTACCACCCCTCTTTGTCCTCAGTTTTATGCTAAACCGACTGAAATAAATGTTTGCCTTAGGAATTTCTCTCATTTTTCAGAAGCACCCAGAGACGCACATGTTAGGAGCTCACGCTAGAATACTTTGTCATTATGGTTCTACTGTTGTTTCCTTTCAAGTTGCCTAAACACAGCTGAGTTGGTAAGAGGAGCAAAGACAACAAGATAGGGCTGCCAAGTAGGCAGGAAGCTGTAGTGGACCTAGCGAGCAGGGGCGGCTGAGCACACCCTCCATCCAATCAGCTGTGAGTGCTGTTGCTATGTGCGCTCTACTCTGCTGCCTTTGTGAAAACCTTACACAGAGGGAAGCGAAATCAGCACCCACCGCTGAACGTTTGTTTTAACCACTGCAGACATCTGGATCCCTCAGTTTCTGACTGTCTAGCTATTGACAGCCAGAAGGCAACTTCTTTTATACAAGGATTCCAGTATGGTTTTCAGTGGAAACAAAGGGCTTCACAGAGAAGGTGTGTAACGAAGTGTTTTTAACGGCTGTATTTTTAAGCTTCCAGTTTTCTGTAGCTGTTTACCAGTTGTGGTGTTTGCTTTGCATGGGTTTTTTAATAAATAGGTCTTGAAAAATGATCTCACTTTGAAAAACATTGAACTTAGGGAATTTCCCTTTCTTTGGCTTCATATAGTCTGTTTTCTTTGAACTGTGTTGCTTATAAGGTTATTAAAATGCTGGTCTGAACAATGAATAAGAAAAAAAAACAAAATACAAGGCATTCACCTTAATGGGGAGAAAAATATAATAAAAATGAGATTACTGGGAAGAGAATAGAGGTTAACCAGAGCATTAACTGTTTGGGGGTTTACGAGGTGTTTGTTTTTTTAAATAAAGGCTGTTAAGAATGTATTTAAAATAAGTTACCAATTTAACCCAAATTCATTGTTTGTGAATTTGACAGATTGTCAAAATTTAGCTTAGTGAGAATTTTGGCATAGTTTAAAGAATTGGGCTGTCTTTTTGTGAAGGATTTCTGAAGATGCTCAAATTGTGCAATTTCTTAATTATTTGATCTGTTGACTAGTTCTTTGCAGTTCAGATAAAGAATAGTGTGATCCAACCACTAATTCAGAGTCATGTGCTATTAAACGCCCACATAGAAAATTGAAAAAGAAAAGATTTTTAAAACAACATACCACAAATGGTTAAGATAGTGTTTTTAAAATTAAAGTAGGCCTCTAAAATATTACAATTCCATATCTAACTTAATTAATGTTGTAAACATAGTAAAGTCTTATTTAAGTAAACCCTACTAATTCAATATTTGTAATAATTGAACAAAATGTAGGTTACAGTTTGTTTTTATGGGATCTGGAAAAACCAGTTTATCCAATGGATTACGGGAAAGTTTTAAAATATCTTAGACAAACAAAAGTTTTTTACATATTCTCAAATACTACAAAATTATAAAACTTACATAGCTGATTTAACGAATGATTCCTTTAAATTAATTAAAGCAGAGCAGCTTTTATGAACAATTTTCTTTTGCTTATTCAGTTTCACCTGGTTGTGTTGTGCAAGTGGTTCCTTTTTTGAATCTGATGATGTCTGATGAGTAAAATTTGCATGCTTTAAATTCAAAGTTAATGTTTAAATTCAAAGTTGATGTTTTCGTCTTTGTAAATGGTGTATTTTGGAATAGGATTGATTTTCATGTTACTGTTTTTTTCAAGAAGTATCTGTCATTAGAGAGGCTTAGCAATCAATGTTAGCATTATTTGAAAAGTAAGGACATTTCTTTTCTTTGACAATAACTCAAACTATGAAAAAACATGAGATCATATTCTGTGCCTATTACTGATAATTTTTAATGATATATGTACATTTGTATTAAACCAAAGACTTCAAATAGTAGTTGAAAAAAATAAATTGTCCTTAATTTTGAAAAGCGTTTAGCATGGAGTTACATGTTGCTGAACTTTGTAAGTCTCTTGGATGTCTTTGTTTTTCCAGTATCAAGCCTAACACTTAATTTTGATAGCTATAAAAACTATAGCAAAATAGAGAAGAAAGCTATCATATTGTTTAGATTTGGTAGCCTCCACAATGTAAAGCATTCATTTGCAGAAGAGGAGCTGTGAAGTGGCGCCAGAGGTGGGAGGCAAAGGTGGCAGCAGAAGTATGTTGACAGGACCCAAGTTCATTAGCTATAACTCTAATCACACAGAGGTCAATCTAGTCATTTCCATTTTTCAAGGTATCACACATTTACTAATTTTAATTATAGAACCACAAAAAAGCAAAATTTTGCTTGAATTGATTTATTACTCCCCCCCCTTGTTTATTTCTTAAAAATTAATAGATTTTTCTAAGAGCAGGTTGGTTTCATTCATATGCTGCAAAAGATAAAGGAACATGATGTTGGCAAGAAAGTTGGGTCTACTGCTGTGTTACACAAAAGCTTTGCCATTGTATTGCAGGAAGAATAGTCTTGGCAGAATCCCAGATTTTATTCCTGGACTCAGCATCTAAGATTTTTTTATACTGGATCATCTGAAAGTAACTTGTCAGTATCAAAAATCTCTGAGTAATAACTGATGTTTATCATCTGGTCAAGTACAGTAACTTTCTAGCATATTTCAACTCTTGAATTTATTATTTGACAGTAGAATTTACTGCTTTATTCTATATCTGATCTTTAAATTGACTACTTTTTTGTACTTGTAAGTGGAAAAATATTTTAGTTCATAAAAATAGTGATTTCTTTTTTATCCTGGTCATTTGATAAATAGTAAATAGAAGTGCTAATATGTGTCACATGCAGTGATTATATAATTGATTTATTTTAAATAAAATGTTTTCATTTCTTTTCAAATCACCAGATAATAATATATAAATAGACTCTCATGTACAGTTCTTCAAAAATCTCTGTGGTTTAAAGCCTGAGGTTGAGAAGGGGTAATAATCTGAGTTTTTCTTTTCCTTTTTGTACCTCTGTGAAATCTTTTTTTTTTTTTTAAGTCATTCCTGTCACTAATATTTTTTCCTTATTTATTTATTTATTTATCTTTACATAGAAGAACTGGAGTGTAGGCCAGAGGGGAGTGAAACAGTGGGGAGTGAAACAGGCAGATATACTGAGATACTCTGCTGTGGGGAGCAGCAGGTGAGACAGGAGAGGTCTGCTATGCCATGTGGGTTAGCACAGTGGTCAGGGATCAAACTCATGCTGCAGTGGCTGGTGATAGCTTGATAGTGCTGAGACATAACCTCTGCGCCACCAGGGAAACCCTTCTTATAGGTATGTTTTATTTTTTCATTTACTTTTTTTTTAAAAAAACATTGCTTTTTTTTTTTTTTTTTTTTTAAAGATTTATTTATTTATTTATACAAGCACTGGGTACAGTCAGAAGCGTGGAAGTGTGAGAGAATTCACCGGAGCCAGAGCAGGGAGCAGAACAGACAGACTGACGAAACACACTGCTGAGGGGAGCAGTGGGTGGCAGGAGAGGTCTGTGGGCCATGTGGGACCCTCACCCTGTGTTTGGGGATCAAACCGGTGCTGCAGAGGCTGCGGGCAGCTTCGCAACCCAGCGCTCAACTGCTGTGCCACCGGGGAGGCCACTTATAGGTATGTTTTAAGTGCTGTATGGTACAATGTTGCTTCGACTCTGCCTTGTAGAAATTCATTACTTATTCATATTCTGAATCTAAAAAAGATTTGTTTATAATAGTCGGCAGGCTGAGAAATTTTGTCGTCACCACTTTTTGTCAGGCATTTTCATGTATCAACAGTGGATTACATAAACTATTTGATTTTATGAGAGTGTGATACATCTTTTTTAAATCTTCAGATGTCACTATCTAAAATCAAAGACCTGAGTTTTAAAATGTAGTTATTTGCAGTGTTGTGTGAATCTGATTATATAATCCTTTGTGATGAGGCTGAGTTAAAAGTAATAGCATGATGACTATTAATTTAGAAATTTGACATCATTTTGGTCACCTCAATCTTATTCATTGAAAGATTTCTGAATATTAAATGATTTGAATTATAAGGCTTATTGTAAGTACAGGGACATTAAAATTATAAATTACAGGAAGCAGTCAAGATAGGGTAGAGAAAATAAACAGGTCCTAAGGTTCATACAATTGTTGGGACTAAACTTTTTCTTTAAGCTTCTTGTCAAGTGAAGTAAGGTGGGGGAACTACCAGGAAGTTCTGTGTGTCCCTCTTATGTAACATTTCACTGGTAAATGTGGCCATTAAAATTTAAGTTGCTTTCTGTTTTCTTAATATTTTGAGACTATTTTAAGTTCAAGTTTTTGCTATCCTATATCATTTCTTATTAATCTAGCTATGTGATACTGGACACAGTTTCTTTTCTTTGAGCCTTGGTTTCCCTTAATATGAGAATTTAGGGTAATTGTGAAGTTTAAAGTGAAAATATATGAAAGCTTCTTAGATTAGTGACAAAGTTAATACACAATAAAGGAGAATTATAATAAATTTCTCTTTAAAATTACACATTTTAAAAATCTGAGAATTTTAAGTACAGTTGGTTTTTGGGGTTTTTTTTTTGTTTGTTTGTTTTTGTTTTTAGTTTCCCCTGGACTTCATATTTACAAATGTACTTCTAGGTTTCTCAGTTTTGTAAGATACCTAAAAATCTGAAAACCCATGGAAATAGGGCAGAAGAAAGGGCAGAGTTTGTGGGGAAATATGTCTAAATCTTTGAAGAAACATAATCAATAATGTTAAGAAAATGATGAATAGGGCCTCCCCGGTGGCGCAGCGGTTGAGCGCTGGGTTGCGAAGCTGCCTGCGGCCTCTGCAGCACCGGTTCAATCCCCGGCTGCTCCCCGGCCACGGAGGAGGGTCCCGCATGGCGCACAGACCTCTCCTGCCGCCCGCTGCTCCCCTCAGCAGTGTACTTCGGTCCTTCTGCCTGCTCTGCTCCCTGCTCTGGCTCTGGTGAATTCTCTCACCCTCCCGTGCTTCTGACTGTTCCCAGTGCTTGTATAAAATAAAATAAATAAATAAATCTTTTAAAAAAAAAAAAAGAAATGGGTAGAATTAAAAAAAAAAGAAAATGATGAATAAATTGGAAGATAAAAGAAGGCAGGGAAAAAAAAATTTGTGTTTTTGTGTGTGTGTGTGTGTGTGTGTGTGTGTGTGTGTTTGAGTGAGTGATAACGCATGCCCACAAACTCTGACTAGAGTTGCTAAAGCCACCAGGATTTGTTTAGGGGAAGTAACTTTTTTCTGACTTTTCTTTTTAATTCCTCATGTAGGATTGGTCCAAGGTTGACCTTGTATTTGTCATCCATACTAATGTCAAGAGTCAGGCCAGCTGGTTAGGATCAATAAATTAAATACCATCACATACATTATGAATGTAATTGTCTTGATATATAAGAACTTGAAGAATAAAAACCTGTTATAAGGCTAAATTTTGAAAACTCAAACTTCTGAGCCAAAATGTTCAAGAAATGCTATTTTGTTATTTCAATTAA